ATATAATTGTAGGAATTGACATACGAAATGACCATTATGCCCCTCTGGACTTAAATGAGAAGTGATGATATAAAACAAAATACAAAGGCTAAGATCGTAATTTCACTTACTTAATACCTACTCCCTATTATATAATAGCTGTGTTCTAATAGTGTGGGAAAGAAAAAGCAGAGGACGCATGTGATATTGATTTGAAAAAAGTAATAATATTATATTTAACAAATAAAAAGTAAAAAAAAAAAAAAATTCCTACAATTATATGAACCTCACCCTTCTGAACCTCACCCTTCCTATTAAATCTGAATCTCATTCTATTTACCGCACCAACTTCACCTTCTCGAAAGCACCTTCTCCAGTTACATCACAGAATTAAATTAGACAAATAGAAGATATCCACCATCTGGTTAGGTCCTCCTTCTCCACTTTCATAATTTACATGTGAGATTTTGATGCCAGTTCATCTTCATATTTGGTTCAAACATGAGCTTCAGAAATTCAGACATGAGCTTCAAAAATTAGCTTCACTGAAGGGGAATGGGAGGATGACCGGCCGGTCATCCCGTGGGACTTCCGCCTGGTCATCCCGGCCCAGTCACTTTTCATTTCTGTTTCATTTTCATAAATCTGTTCCATTTTCATTTGTTATATTTTCTGATATCTGTTATAATTTTTTCGCACTATTATTTATTTTTCTAATTATCAGTTTCTAAGTTCTAATAAACTCTATGAATCAAACCCCAATGACAAATATTATTCCCTATGATTTTTTTTTTTATATACAAATCTGTTTCTTTGAAATCTGCCTAATTAAATTTTGTCACCAAATTTTTTTATATTTATTTTTTTCATAAAAATAAGTTTGTATGCATAAAAAGATACTAATGTTTGATATATTTTTCATACATTTTTCTTACCTCTCGTATATTTTAATATACATTTTTCTTTCACTTTTACAGTCATCATGCCAAGAACAATCATGCCAAGAACAAAACGAACCAAACCCGAACTTGGTGAATCGTCAAACCCTGTACCACCACCACAGCAACAAGATGATGGCTATCCAACTAATGATTTTGCAACATATCATTATGAACAAGCCTATGAACATTTCATTCATTGACCAATTGTTACGGGGAGAAACGTAAAACTACCTTCTCAATATGATTCACTCTTACTTGGCAAATTAGATACAATGGGATGGTTACCATTAAATAATTTACCAAGTAAGATATATCCCGTCTTGTACAATTATTTTATGTTCACTTGACAGCGGGTGACCAACAAAATGAACCGTGGAGTCTTACCTCTTATGTTAAGAGGAAAAGAATCACACTCTCTCTGCGTCGTTTTGCACAAATTATTGGAGTCGAAACAGGAGATTTACAATGTTATTTTCAAAATGAGTCTGTATTGGAGTACAAACAGGAGATTTACAATGCTATTTTCAAAATGAGTCTGCCTTAGAACGAATGTTTAGTGATGTCACTCAGATCTGTACCACAATTTGTGACAACAAATTCAGTGGCACTAATTTACTAGCCAGACATTTAAAACCCCACATTCGTATTCTTTATTGATGGCTAGTTGAAAATGTCACTCCAAAAAAAGGCCATTATGATACTATTTCATGTTTTAATGTGTATTTGTTATATTGTTTTGAAATTGGACAAAAATTAGATTTATGCTTCATATTACTCAAAGAAATGGTGATTGCAAAATTGGATACTCTGTCTGGTTGGTCACTACCTTTTGGAGCTTTGTTAACCATAATTTTCAAAGCGCATGATGTCAATCTTGAAGGTGAAGGATATGTCAGAATCACTTCACCAATTTCTGAGTACACACTGACCCGAGGTGGTGGTGCTGACACCTTGATGAGCTTTATTCATATTGAAAATGAACCAATACCTGATGAGGAAGAACCCAATGACAATGCCATGCCACCAAATGAACAACCCCGTTACTGGACAGATTATTTAGCCTTGGAACAAGAACGGTACAATCAGTGTCTACAATGGGAACAACAAATAGCTAATCAGCTCAATACACTGGGTACTCGGTTTGATGAATTTGGTACTCGATTCGATGAAATTGCCACTGCTCAGAACTCACTAATTCATCAATTTGGCGAGTTCCACGTAGACTCCGAGAGACGTGCTGAACTGACAAGGAACCGCATTGATTTACCATCGAGTCACTCAGCTGTACCATCAGCATTTCCCTCCACCTCCAACACCACCTGACAAGGATGCTTAACTTGTTTAAAAATCAAGTAAAATGGTTCACAAATATGGTGGTTATATTTTTTTCCCTTTTTTTGTTTTGGTTATTTATTTGGTGAGTTTTGTTGTGATTGTTTTACTTTTGTTATTTTGTTATAAACTTTTCTATTCACGTAATGAATAACAACGACAGGTTTTTTTTTTACCACACATCTGCCACCACCACCCATCACCACCCACCACCCATCTGCCACCACCACGCACTACCCACGACCACATTTAATTTAATGACAACATATTTATTTCTGAAAGTTACTAAAAAACACATTGCATATTAATAACAACATATTTAATTGTCTTTGATAGACTATACATAAATTTGCATATTACACATTGCATGAACAACATATTTAAGTACACATGTACTAAGAAAACCATTATCTTCAGTGCCCATGGTGAACATGATTTTGCCACATAGCAGTAGCAATTGCATCCCTAACGTTCGATTGGGACGTTAACCCATGTTGTGACATGTCAACGTAGTCAGGTTGGTCTCCAAGAAGCCCGTCTGCTTCTGCTTCTGCTTCTGCGGCCATTTCATTATCAGCTTCCATAAAGAATGGATCCATAACTACATGCAAACGGATCCAATTGTGCACTACACAACATGCAATCACGAGAGGCCCTTGTCGTGTAGACTTATAATTTGGCATGGACCGCAATATTGGGATGCGCTTCTTCAAAACACCAAATGTTCTTTCTATGACGTTGCGTAATGACGAATGTCGATGGTTAAACAATTCCTTAGGTCCTGCATAACGATGGCCACGAAACTCTTGCAAGTGATATCGTTGAGACCGAAATGGAGCAAGAAATCCAGGCATGTTCGTGAAACCAACATCAACTAAATAGTACTTGCCTACATGTAAATAATGAATACACAGTTCTATCAATTGATATGTATAAAAACAAACAAGGAAAAAAGTGTACAGTATGTTGTTCAGGGACAGTCACCATTGGGTGGGTGTGGGAACTGTAGATCAGCTCGTGTAATAGAGTCAACCAGAATAGCGTTGTCGTGAGCGCTACCTTCCCATCCAGAATTAATAAATGTGAACAACATATCGAAGTTGCAAGCTGCGAGTACATTTTGCGATACCGTTGCTTTCCAACTGCGGAATGTATGTTGTCTTGAAGCAGGGACCCATACATCCACCAATGTGCCATCGATAGCACCGACACAATCCTAATTGACAGATATCAGACTTTGATATTAAAAGCGAAACAAACTGATTGATTTTACTTTCATAATTAAAAAATAATAATATTTATTAACCCTTATGGATATGAACAAATTTACAGGACAGTCACACTGTTCGTACCTTGAACCAGGGAAAAAACCGCCTGTCATTTAAAATTTTTCCCGGGATGTCCTTTAGGTTACGTGGTTTGATAACCAATGATGAAAGTTTGCACAATGCCCGCATAACAATTTTTATGTGCCGACAAATTGTTTCCGTTGAGTGTTGAAATCTATCTGCCATTATTTGATGGCGATCATTTTGTGCAAAAGTGTATAAAAAAATTCCAAGCCATTCCTCCACACTTATATGCATATGTTCAGTATCGATAAAGCCATTATGGAGTAAAGTGTCTTTCAATAAAATGAATGTTTGTGCATCTATTCGCATAACGTTCATCATTGTTTCTGGATGGCCATTTAATAGGTCGAAGATGTAATCATCACCTCTGAATGAACACGTTCGCTGCGGTCGGCGACTACTTGACGCGTTCATATGGTCATGCATTACAGCAATCATCAAGAAATTCATAAAATCATCAACAACCTCATCCTCCTCTGATGAGAGCTCCATTGTATTGTTTTCTCTGTCGGATGACATATGCCTTTGTCTACATCATAGTAAAAGCATAATTATAAAATATGTTATTCATGCAGTAACAATTAGCGTTATTGGTGAAACAGTAAAATTCAGAGGATAACAAAATTTATTTAACACATGGTCATATTATAATAATTTCCATAGTTTTAATATAACAGAAAACACTTAAAAGTTAAAAAAAAAAAAAAAAACATACGAACATAGAAAAGGAAAGAGGATATGATGGAATGAAAAAAAATAAGAATTAAAACCAAATCAGGAATAATGAAATGATCATACAGTTCAGCCAAGAAGATTTGTTAACACAAGCAAAACAGAACGTCTCAGTTCACTGCAAAGCGAGGATCATGGCTAGGCGCAAATGGGTAGGAGTGCGCATGAAAAACCTTCGCCATTCCTTATCCTTGAACAGTGTCAGTGCCCTAACGTACTGCAACGGTGGTATGTCCCCAAGCTCAAGCAATGCATCTTGACATGCATCAAGGGAATAATCATCACCACCTGCACTTACAGCCTTAGTCTCATTTTCTCGTGCATGTGAATGTCCTGTTTTGGCTTGTACATAGGATATGAAAGCTGCACACACATCATCAAACCCACTTGACCGTGATTTTTTGGAACGACCACTGTCAGTCTGGCTGGTTGCAGGGCCCCTCTTGTGACTTTTGCCCTTTGCTGGATCTATATACTCATCCCCGAATAAGTCAACAGGAATGGCCTCAGCAACATTACTCCCGCCAGCGTTACTCCCACCAGCATCAGCGTTCCAAAATTTATTTAACATGCTGTCTTCTTCTTCTGAGTCAAGGGGTCCTTGTGTGGATGCACGAGACAGGGCCCCTGTAGCACAACAATTTTCAACAATCTCTGCCATTTCCTAAAAATATTCATACCCTTTTGTCCTAAACTTCTTCACATTTCTGCTAACCTACAACAAGTACAAAACAAGAATTAAGCATTGTATATATCATGAAACGTTTAAAATAAAATTAGAAAACAGTACAGATTAATGGAAAACCTTATCCCAAAATTCATCGGGTGCAACAACAGTGCCTATAATAGGTTCCCATCCCAGACCAGTCTGTGCCTGGAGTCGCTTGAATGTCTGGTAATCAGCTTTCAAGCGCTGATATTTTTGGCGCACCTTAACACCTGTATACCGAAATCCATATATGTTGTGCAACTGATTTGCATAATGATTCCAATGCCTAATTGTCCACGAAGTAGTACGGCCCGTTGTTTGATTGTTTCTAACCTCATCTCTCAACATATTTATTAATTTCGTTTCAATTCTGGGCATCCACATTTTGGTGTTCTCATTGTCATCGGAATTATTTCCATCCATCTATAAATATACAAATTATATTTAAACTAGTTTGGGATGAATATACAAGTAGAACAGAGTATTTTAAAGAACACTGCGATGGATATACAACAATAACAGTGCAAAATGATTTGAAGGAGAACACAGATAAAGGAAAAAGAACAGATTATTTTATTTCAAGGAAAAAAGTACGTAGCAGATTAATTGAATTTAAAAAGCAGAAATATAATCATCAAAACAAAAAACATTGAGATAGCAGAAATATAACCACAAATAAAAAAAAAATCGACTTTTATAAACCCAAAACCAACTTTTTTTCTTGTGTCCCAAACGACCCCTTGCAAGTAGTCATGGAAAAAACATTTTTTTGTTTTATCAAAAAAAATTTTGCATAAAAAAAATTTCGCTAAACCGTTTTTTTTTAATTCTATAAAATGTAATTTCAACCACTAGAAAGAAAAGGAGGGTAAAGTATGGTATGAACTCGATCAAAACAAAAGTATGGTATGAACATTTTATTTATTTATTTCTATAAATTAAAATATGACTCAAAATAATAAAAAATTAAAATACATACATAAATATTCTAATTTGTTGAAAAATTATGAAAAAATATAGTTAATTTTAACATAAGTATATTGACTTATCTTTTAATAAGATCAAAATAAAAAATATTTTAATGTAAAAAAGATAACATTATTATTTTTTTTAATTCATATTCATATGAATGATAAATTATTAATAAAAAATGAAATGCTATAAAAATTAAAAACTTTACTATATTTTCTATAAGTCTTATTTACCATATAAATAAATAAATATAGACATATATATGTCTAAATGGTAATGTAACAGTAGCTATCCCTGATTTTAACCGTGTGTGCCAGGGCTAGGGGTGTCTTTGCTCTCAAAGCCTCAAAATTCAGTTAACATTGGGGTGTCTTTGCTCTCAAAGCCTCAAAATTCAGTTAACATTGTGTTTAAATAGTAGGAAAGAAATCAGTAAATTTTTTTTAATTAACAATCAGATTAAAAAAAATTAGTATTGGTTGTTAACAATGTAAAAAAAAAAAAATCTGAATTCAAAAAAACACAATGTTAACATTTAGTTAACAATGTTTTACAAAAAAAAATCAGTTAACATTCAATGTTTAACAATGTGTTTAACATTGTGTTATATTGATTTGAATTCAAAACAAATCAGTATTGGTTGTTAATTGAAATTAAGGAAAAAAAATAGTAACAAAGACAAAGCCGGTGGGTTCAAACAGTTCAGGGAGGACCGGTGGCTTAAACCATTCAGGAATGGAAAGTGGAAGACAAAACCGGAAGAGAGGTGGGAAGACCGGGTGGTCGACCGGCCGGGTGTCCCAGGCACTGCCACTATGCCTTTGATAGAAGAAAGGTTCAAACCGTTCATAATTTCAAATAACAACCGATCTGAAATGGAAAATACGACATACCAAATTCTAATAAACCATTTACGAACTTGTAACGCCCTGAAAATAAATAACATTAAACCCATCAATAAAGACATGAATTGGCAATAACGATAAACATTCTTCTATTCATCAGAGCAGTTCCTTACAAAAGTATTACATGTTAACAACAAAAGGAAATGCCCTACGGGCTTACAGCTTTCCAAGTCAACACTTGGTTACAACAAAAGAGTACTAACTCATTTACAGTTTAAGCCCTTGGCTTGAGATTACATGTAATACATCAAAAATAAAACAACAAAAAGAATCTGCCTGCCTCTTGCCTCCCAAGCTACGTCCTTTCAGGTGGCATGCTACCTGCACCTGAAAATGATATTCCCATATAGGGTGAGCCACAGCCCAGTAGAAATATACTAAACCAACCATGAACAATGACTAAAAGATTAGCAATTGATAGATGGCCAACACTGATACATCCACATAAATCACATTTTATGTCATACGACTTATGAGTCCAAGTTACTTTTCATTTTCCCCTTTTCAACAGATAAGCATATTAGCTCTATCATCATCTCAACAGATATGTATAAAAACTATATCCCACATTCACAGATAAGCATATAAGCTATATCCACATTCTCAACAGATATATATAACAACTATATCCCACATTCACAGATAAGCATATAGAATATCCACATTCTCAACAGATATGTATTAACGTATACAAACACATTGGTTCTATATACAATCACTCAATACATATAGTTAATGTATTCTATCAATCGTCAAATTCCATGACACATTCCATTGATTAGTTTCCGTTTGCCTAATCATCATGCATTGTCTACAACAATCACGACTATCCTCCACCGATAGCCCAAAGCAGTTATTTCTAAACAGAAAATAAATGCACAAATGGATATTTAATCAACATTTCATTTCGGTGAGTGATAAATAATTCAACTACACCCTTTAACCCATACATTCCCATTCTCAACAATTCCATTTCATTTCTTCATTTCTCACGATTAATTAACCCAATTAATCAAACAATGTAATTAGGGTATTTTCCATAATTAACATTACAACCCTTAAGGTTCCATTTTCATCAATGATTTAACATTTATTCCATTTCTCCATGCCAAACATGCATCTAGGTTTATTGTAAATAAAAACCCAACTTTTGTAAAATTACACAAAAGCCCCCAAGCTTCCACAAAACTACCAAACCAACCCAACATCTCAAAATACCAAAATTTAGAGACAAGATCCATAGAGAGGAGTAGGATATCCCTACCTCAAATCCGGAGCCCCAAAGGAGAAGGTGACAAAACCAAACGTGCTCCAAAGACCAAGATTTTCAGATCAAAACGACGCCCTCGACGATCAACACCACTTTTACAAAGGCCGAAGGTGAGGAACTCACCCTAGCTAGATCAAAATCTAGAGAGAATGCAAGATTTTAGAGAGAGGAGCTCTCAAAAGTAAAGGCTAAAGATGAGAAACTCACCCTAGCTAGATCAAAATCTAGAGAGAAGGCAAGGTTTTAGAGAGAGGAGCTCTCAAAGTATCTTTTTGAAAAAGTAGGAGAGAGAAAGAAATGTAAAAAGTGATTTAAAATCACCCAGCGGATAACTCATATACGTATGACCCGCTCGAGCGGAGAACACGACGTTCGAGCGCCAAGAACAAAACTCTGGACACGCTCGAGCGCAATAAGGCCCGCTCGAGCTCCAAGACACAAGAATAAAGCACTTCCGCTCGAGCGCAGATTTCCACCTCCCAGAACTTACACCCAGAAAGTACTACCCGCTCGAGCGCCAAATGACCCGCTCGAGCGCCACCGCTCGAGCGTAAACAAACCCGCTCGAGCGCAGAAATCACGTCTGCAGAAGTTTTACAGAAACCCGAAATACTGGAGGTGTGCAATACCCGCTCGAGCGCAAGAAGACCCGCTCGAGCGGACTGCCTAAAAACTCAACAACAAGGAATTTGAAACCAAGGCCTAACCAACCTGTAACAAACCCTCCCAACACATTCTATAACTCAAATACGAAGAAAAAATGATGTAAATAAGATAATGACCAACAACCAACATCCACGGACACATGTCCGGATCACTGTACAACAAGGGTAAACCCGGGATCGCTACAACTTCTCCGAATTCATTTATACATAACAGATGAATGATTTACACTATTCTTGAAGAACAAAAAGTTTAAACAGTTGATCGACTCGTTTGAAATCATTTTCAGATAACAGATGAAGGATGAATGATTTATTTACCAGATTAGTGGGAGTTGAATAATTATCGTCGGTGATGGAATGTGTATACTGATTGAACGTGCCACTGTTTGCTCGTCGAATTTGACAATAAATTTGATAAATTTGACCTGAAAAAAAAATTAGAATGAATTTCTCAAATAATTTCCCTATAACAAAATATGTAAATAATTTTGTGAGTAATTTCACCTCGCAGTCCTCGTTGTTTGGTTGCCCGTAATAAGAATCGTCCGCAACGCACAAATCACAACTCAGTTGATTTGTGAAATATGATACGAGTACGGAGCGGGTTGGGTAGATTCGTTATTTATAAAATGAGTCTGACTTCTGAAACTCTCTGAAACTCATCCGTGATGAATCTGAACACAGAGAAGCCACCCGTGATGAATCTGAAGAACAGGTGTAGATGAGATTCACGTGAAAGTTGGGAGATGATGAAGAAGGCAGAAACGTTGAAAGGGAGATATTTGCTATCAAACAGATTTTCAAAATGTAATTTGAATTAACATGCGGAATCAATTTTTGAACATCGTATCCAAACGTCATATGCGAGCCCACGTGTTGAAAATTGATTTCAGTTCACAACCAAACAAAGCCTACATTTTTAGTTTCATAAAAACAAAAAGATAAAATTATTAGAAAACCCAATTTAAGGAGAGTGTGAGGTATTATATCTCATGAATATTTTTTCTTTATAACAAGTATCCTCTTTGTAAAATATTGTGGTGAGAAGTACACTTTATTATTTCTTAGGATATTTTATTTTTAATTTTATCCCTTAATCTATTTGTTAATTTTTTTTATCTGTTTATTTATTTTTACTATTTGTTTAAATATTTTTTTATTTGTTTAAACTTTTTGACTAGTTTAAATATTTTCTTATGTATTGATTTTAACAAATTTTTTATTATTTGTTTAATTTTTTTTACTTATCTGTTCATATTCGTTTGTTTTATCTGTTCAATTTGCAATCTGTTCAGATCCGTGTTTCCAAATGCACAAAACAAATGTGAGTTTATCTATTTAATTGGGAAAAAAATGATTGTTCAATTACAACATGTTCAAATCTGTTGAAATTTACACAGACCATAACTGAGGCACAATTATATATATTTTTTTATTTTATCTTTATTGTTTGTGAAATTTTGGTTTGAGAGCGCAAAATAAGAGGCATTTATATTATATTTGGGTCTGCACAACAAACAGTAATAAATGAGATGGTGAGAGAGATAGATAGAAACCAATTGGATTGGGTTGGGGTGAAAGATTCGAGGAGATAACGACAACAATAACAAC